CACTCCCCAAGGTGTGTGTGTGTGTCTTTGTTTCAGCACACATTATGTTGACCTAATACATGCATATTCATTGCTATTTAGCATATGTAAATGTCCTTCGCACACAGTAAAATGAGTCGGTGGTCTTCAGTCGGCTTTATCACAGTGTCCACTGATTGATTTCCTCTCCCACCTTGCTCAGTGGCACCTCACTCATGTGTTTAGGACAATATTCCTTGAAGAACATTCAGTCATTAACTTTTACACCCATGACAACGTTGTGGGAGAACATCTGCAAAGGTCCTAAGGCCATCGTCTTCTCAGGGGCTGCGAAGAGCAGATGTAAGTGTAATGATTTAAGCAAGCAAACCAACTAGGTGATAAGCACCCACTCCAAGGTTCTAAATCTAATTAAACAAGCAACTAAGGGATCTATAAATCTTTCAAGCAACTAAGGTATCTGTAAGTCTTTTAATTTCTGAGGGTTTACTCTTTCAGGGAGTGGGTTTTATTTTTTTTTTAATTTCCCTCTGTGTCCATCCACAAAGAGAAAGACTGGGAATTTAACTTAAAAAAAAATAAAAAATGAAAGCTTAATCTGATGAATGCAGGAGTTAAAGATTTTAAACATCCCCAACAAATCACCCGAGTGACCTACGCACAAAGTGCAAGAGCTGCTGTCAGTGGAGAGGACAAGTTTTGACTGGGGAGGTCTGTGAGGAATGAGATCCCAGGCTTTTTATGCTCTGTGTCTTAGTGCGAAGGACAAATTTGAACATTATAGAAAGAAAAAATAACCCCAGAAGTTCCAGGAATTTCTCAATCTAGAAATGTAAATAGCCTCTAAGCATCGACATGGTCCTCAGGCCTTCGACATAGTCCCACACCACATCCTGATCTCTGTATTGGAGAGGTACAGATTTGAAGGCTGGAGTATTCGATGGATAAAGAATTAGTTGGATGGTCACAGCCAGAGGGTTGTGGTGAGCAGCTCCATGTCCAGGTGGTCAGTCTCAGGACCAGTGCTCTTCAACATCTTTATCAGTAACCTGAATACTGGGATTGAGTGCACCCTCAGCAAGTTGCTGATGACACCAGCCTGAGTGGTGCAGCTGATACAGTAGATGGAAGGAATGGCATCCAGAGGGACCTGGACAGCCTTCAAAAGTGGGCCCACGGGAACCTAATGAGGTTCAACGAGGCCAGGTACAAGGTTGTACACTTGGGTTGGGGCAATCCCAGGTGTGTGTACAGACTGGGGAAAGAACTCACTGAGAGCAGCCCTGCTGAGATGGACTTGGGGGTCCTGGTGAACGAGAAGCTTGACATGAGCCAGCAGTGTGCGACTGCAGCCTGGAAGGCCAGCTGTGTCCTGGGCTGTGTCAATAGAGGGGTGGGCAGCAGGGAGAGGGAGGGGATTGTCCCCCTCTGCTCTGCCCTTGTGAGGCCCCATCTGGAGTGTTGCATCCATGCCTGGAGCCCCCAACACAAGAAAGATGTAGAGCTGTTGGTGTGGGTCCAGAGGAGAACCAGGAAGAAGATCAGGGGGCTGGAGCACCTCTCTGGTGAAGAAAGGTTGAAGGAGCTGGGCTTAATTAGCTTGAAGAGAAGGCTCTGGGAGGACCTCATTGCAGCCTTCCAGTACTTGAAGGGAGCTTAGAAACAGGAGAGAGAGTGACTTTTTACATGGGCAGACAGTGATAGGACAAGGGGAAATGGTTTTAAGCTAAGAGAGGAGAGGGTTTTAAGCTGGTTTAGGTTAGAGACTAGGAGGAAATTTTTCCCCCAGAGGGTGGTCAGACACTGGCACAGGTTGCCCAGAGAAGCTGTGGATGCCCCATCCCTGGAGACATTCAAGGCCAGGTTGGATGGGGCCCTGGGCAGCCTGATCCAGTGTTTGACAACCCTGTCCACAGCAGGGGGGTTGGAACTGGATGATCTTTAAGGTCCTTCCAACCCAGACCATTCCATGATCCACACCTCTCTGTTTTTCTCTTACTTGCAGTTGTTATGCTTCCTTCTCTCACCATCTCTCCCAATACCAGTGCTCTGTCATTTGGGGACCTGAAGTTGCCAAGTGGCTGCTCAGATTCTCTCCTCCTGTGAGGACCCAGGGCAAAAACCAACCTCACATGCCATGAATTCCAGAGTGCACTGTGCCAGAATAAGCTCTTCCCTTGTTTGTATGGGAAGGACATTCCGTTTGTCCATCTGCTCAGCTGTGGTGGGATGGAAGAACATCTCTCCCTTTACTCAGTACTCAACAACTAGTAAACCTTAGAAACAAATGTCAACTTTACCTTGCATTGACTGATTTCCCCCCCCCCTACAAAAAATGTCTTTAACAGTAGCTTTAAGCAGAAGATCAGGAATATTTCCCTTTGGTTTCCTTTCCAACATTGTAAAAGAGAGATATTGGATTCACTTGGGGATGCAGCATGAACTCCAAGAGGTGACTGCTCGTTGTCTGTACACCAGCTAAAGGCTTTTACCACCATTCCTATCCTTGTGTTTTGATTCTCCCTCCCAGGCATTGATAGAAAAAGGCCCCCGGGGTGACTGTTAAACGAGCCTCAGGTGGAAGGGGGAGTGGACAAGTAGCAGCTGCCTGCTATAAAGAGGGTGAGCTGAGGATAGGGTTAGTTTCTTGCTGGGCTGTAAGCAGTAGTGGCAGCAGCAGCAGCATGGACCTTAGTTTTGAGGGGCTCTAATGGGGCAGGTATAGCTTAGTTTTTGTAGGGCTTTCTTCTTTTTTTTTTTCCCCCCTCCCTTTTTTCCTTCCCTACATCACTCTCTTAAAGGTCAAAGTAATTCTGGGAGCTTTGCCCTAAGAGAGTGAGGAGATTCTTATAGGCTTTTTGCTGCTTACAAGAGCTAGTCAGGTCGTTCCAGATGGAAACTGAAGAGGGCTCCAGTGTTCCTGAAAGCTTTCTGAAACTCTAGGCTGAACTGTGTGCTAGTTCGTAACAGGTCTGGAATTTGATTTTTCCTTTGTAACTTTGAAGTGTGTAAATTCTCTGCAGGGTTGAGCTGCTGTCTCTTTTTATTCTGGATAGTCACTAGACCTTCTGTGTTCTCTGATTTCTTCTTTCTTATAAGCTGTGTGAGATAGAGTTGTGTCCCTTGCATGGGTTGGAAGGGACTGAACATAGTGTATTAGTTAACTGAGGAAATATGTAAGTGTGGGAGGAAGTTGTCTTGTGAATTTTGTGTGGCTTCAAATTTGAACTTATGCACGAGGATATTACCTTTTTTTTGTTAGCTCTCGTTTAGTTTAAGCATGGTGTCACTGAAATACTTGGCTTATTGTGCTAGCTGTCATTGTTATAAAGTACACATTGTTCTGTCACTGTTCTAAAGTATGTTATAAAGTACAAATCCTGAACTGACACAGCTCTTACTGTGATCTCAGATACAATGTGTGTTGGCATTAGGAAGTGTTTTCATAGAATCATAGAATGGTCTGGGTTGGAAGGGACCTTAAAGCTCATCCAGTTCCAACCCCCCTGCCATCAGCAGGGACACCTTCCACTAGACCAGGTTGCTCAAAGCCTCATCCAGCCTGGCCTTGAACACTTCCAGGGAGCGGGCATCTACAACTTCCTTGGGCAACCTTCATGAAGCACCAGATTTCTGATTGTGTGAAGCCTTCTATTGCTTTTCTGTTTTCCTTTTTGAGGCAGCTGGCTGAAGGGTAGTTGACTGAAGACTATTTTTTAGTTGACTGGAATGCTACTTATATGGATGAGTACATATAAGACTGTGTTTAAGTTAGTTCCTGGTCCTGTGGTGTTAAAATGTGGTGTAAGATTGGCTTGAAGTGCTGATATTGAGAGCTGTGTACAAAAGCTTATTTAGCAAAGGAGAACTAAAATCTTTGACCTTGATACTAATATCAGTTTTCTACTTTTTGTTTGGAAGACAGTAGTTTTCTTCTGGAAAGATCTGATTTCATTGAGCTGAGAGAGGAATGTCTGCTGAATTCTGCCAGAGCCTAAAAATCTTTACGTGACACACTTTTTAAAGTGGCTAATCCTGACCATTTATCTCTTTCAGTGTTTAATAAAAAAAAGAGAAATGAATACTGCTTCAACTTCAGAAAGTGGATCATATTCCACAAACCACACCAGACCCTTTTTTTATGCACAGCCAACAGCACAACAGCCTTTTCCAAATCCATGGTACCTCAGTCATGCCTACAGTCCATACTGTGTGCCTGCTCCAGGTAAGAGCCATCTGCAGTAGCTTTGCTTAGTACTGCTGGAGTGGAGAAAACACACGTGGGTCTGTGTTAACAAGCTGCTTGGGCATTTAAGGTTGAATGAATGTCATGTTTTAAGTTGTCAAAGATCTGATTTATGAAGTGTTGGTTAAATGTGTAGCTTGTGTGCTGGAAAGCATCTGTTTCTGGAGAATGGGAACTAAGTAAAAGATTAAATAATGGTTATTGTACAGATATAAAGCTCTAGAATGTGCCTAACAATGAATATGTGTGTATATAGGAGTTCCATGCATGCAATGTAGGTATGGATAAATATAAACTTAAAAATCCACACAGAAACAATACTGTTAAATATATCTTGTAAGTATATTACAAGATTATATTATATATAATGTATATTATATTATTTACAAGATATAAATATATTTTGTAAATATATATAAGGTATACCTATGTTAACTTCTAGCTGGAGCTGTTGGTTTTTGTTTTTTTTCAAAGGCAATGCTATAGCATAGTCCATTAAATAGCAAAAAAGCACAGAAAGTGAATTGGTACATGTTCCAAGGAATAAAATCACACTCTGGTTGAAGTGTAGCTGTCCAGTCCAGATAAGCTGTTCCATTATGAGGAACTCTCTCTGGGTTTCTGTACCACATTTACCTCCAAGCATTGACACGTGGAGTGTTTTACTTACCTATGTGTCTGCTCTTTTAGCTGTCCCTGTGTATCCAAGAAATTATTAATCAGGATGACTTATTTCAGAAAGAAGATATCTTTATCTTTACCTTTTTTTTAATCCCTAATGTCTAGGTTTTCGAAGTGGAAATCCATATTTTCCATTTTATTCTGTTGCACTCCACGAGTACCCTGGATTTTTTGTTCCCCAGCATCCAATGCACGCAAGAATTAACAGAAGGCCTTATTTTAATGCTCCCCCACCTTCCCCTATGTTTTATCATGCAACAAGATTTAGACATTATAGTACCCCTGGGAAAAAAATGGAGACTAAAGAAACACAGACTGATCCTAGACAGCCTGAAAACAAGCAAAAAAAGCATCAGGATATCCGTACAGAAACGAAAGGTTGTGATGCAGGAAATATGGCCTGTGTTTCTTCTGGTATAGGTACAGAGACTGAAAGTACTTCAGAGAAACAAGATTCATCTGGATCTTCCATTGTGGTAGACAGAGAGTTTCATAACAAGAGCCCTTCCAGCTCTACACAGTATAGAAACCTTCCTACTGGAAGCTATGCCTTTGAGAAGGAAGAAGTCAGGATAGAATATGGAAATGGCTCTCCAGCTATTCAACTGTGGAAGTCCTTTAAAGAAACTATCCCTTTGTATGATGTGGCAAGTGGTAAACCAGTCCCAGAAAACATAGTGCCACGTGACTTATTTTCTGTTAGCTCATGTGAAGGGATGATATATGGCCCTCATGAAGGGGAGAAAATGGTGCCGGGAGCTTATTTAGATGACAGAAAAGCTGTTCTCACCTCAAAACAGGGTGTTGAAACTGTGCAAGAAAAAGAGGTCCAAAATAATGAAGCAAAGCTGGATGCGGAAAAGCAGGTGAATACAAGTCAAGGGGCAAAATCCCCCCCAGGTGAAACCGTGGCAGTGCAAATAGCGGAGCTGGCGAGATCTGTTGGCATAGATCAACCCGTGGTTAGACAGGATGTGGTAGTAGCCAAGAAATCTATCTCTAAAAAACCTCCAAGCTCAAAAACTTCTCAAGAAGAGCCCAGCTTTATTCAACAAGCAGGACTACTTCCATCTAGTATGGAGGTAATGAGTGACTTGAGTTTTCAGCAGAAAAAGCTGAATCTGAGCCACAGCATAACCAACGAAAGTCAAACTGATAAAAGCATTTGGTGTGACGAATCCATGGAGAAGTACGTTCCCTCTAACAGCTGGCTGGCCTGTTTGGACAGTATGGACACAAACTACAACCTTTGTTTGCCACAAAGGAAACGTCAAGGTGTACTCAGTCTTTCTTCTGATGACATGTCCTCTAGAGAGGAAGGTTCATCAATTGATAATGCCCCAGTGTCTTATTTTGTCCCTGACTATGTGCTTCAGAAAAGCACGTATACGTTCCAGAGAAGTACAGAGGGCTTAGAGAAAGAGAAAATTAAAAGTGGTGGGTCTCTTAATGAAGATGAAGTGGTAGGAAGGGAGCAGATGAATGACTTGAATGACCAAAATGTCAAAAACTCTTCAACCATGAAGATTAAAGAGGCTTCCAGTAAAGGTAGAAAGCTGGGAGCCCTTCCTAGATCTTCTAGTCGGAAAAAAATCAATTCTCTCAAGAAAAAAGCAGCTAAGAGTTTGTCAGAAGTTGAGGACTCTGAGGAATACTCTGTGAGGGGAGAAGAGGAGGCTGAAGATGGAGAGGATGAGGAGGATGAGGATGACGATGACATGGATGAAATTGAATATTTCTTTCATGAAGCCACTCCATATGGAATCTGGACACCTAGTAAAGGAAGTTTCTACCAAGTGGGTCAGAGGGTGTTTTGGAAACCACCTAAAAATGCTATACCAGCTCAATTAATTAGCTGGCCTCCTCAAGAGAAAATAAAAACTAGGAGTGGGCTTGCTGAAAACATTGGTGTGGTTTACAAGCCAAAGGAGAAAGAACAAGGTGAGGTTGTGTACAGTGACTACGGGTGTTATGGAAGGAAGAGGCCTACGGCAAGAAGAGAAGGACTTGAACACCAGCGAATGCTACGGAAGTTTTTGGGAGGTAAGCTAATTGCTGAGGACAAAGTGCTGCTGCATATAACACACAAAGAACACCTAGTTGTAGCTGCAAATTGTAGTTTGAATAGCCAGAAGTACTGTAGAATATTTATTTTGAGACAGAGGGAGTTTGCTGTGATTTTTATTTGTATTTTTTTTTACCCACTGCATGAGGATTCTTCATCTTCACAACCAGCAGAGAATTCTGCAGAAACTCTGCAGAACTCTAACTCTAACTTTGAGTTAGATTGGATATACTTTTTCATTTGAAAAGCTTAAGGTCATTTGAACTACACATTTACCATTGTTTAATATCTTGGAAACTTGGTATTTAAATTTACACAACTGTTCTGTCCCTCCCATCACAGACCCATGTTAGGGGGATTAATGTCATGAGGATGGAGCCAGGCTCTTCTCAGTGATGCCCAACAATAGGACAAGAGGCAATGGGTGTGAGCTGGAACACAGGAGGTTCCGCTTAAACTTGAGAAGAAACTTCTTTACAGTGAGGATAACAGAGCACTGGGACAGGCTGCCCAGGGAGGTTGTGGAGTCTCCTTCTCTGGAGACATTCAAAACCTGCCTGGACACCTTCCTGTGTAATTTCCTTTAGGTTCCTGCTCCAGCAGGGGGATTGGACTAGATGGTCTTTTGAGGTCCCTTCTAATCCCTAATATTCTGTGATTCTGTGAAGTTAATTATAATCTGGTGGCCATACCCTGTGTAACTTCTCTGCAGAACAGGAGTCAAACCATTTGTTTAATTGTAGCTGCTGTTCTCTTGCTGCTAACAGCAGCAGATTTGCTGTATTTTCATAAAATTAGTGTGAAACTGTATTAAACTTGATCTGGAAAAGAACCTTCTATTTACCTAAAGGCAGATATTGGTAGGAATTGGATTAATCTGAACTGAGAATAAGCAGAGTTATCAGTCAGGGTTCATAACTGGTACTTCAGGAAGTGGCTGCTGTTTAGTGCAGTCTTGTATTGTGAAAGGTACATAAACCAGGGTGATGAACTTCTGGTAACAGGCCTTATGTTCTCAAACTTGATTTTCTTTCTATAAAATCTGTAGATTTAAAGCAGCTTGTAATTTTTGTCAAGTATGGTCTCCAGAAAACTGGTTTTTATTATAACAGTTAGATTCAGTAGCTAGCTCTGCATTCTGACTTGTGGATCAAACAATACATTAACTTCAGCAAAACTAACTACTGACCTTAAATCAACTTTTTTTTTCTAATTAGGAAGGCTGTTAAGAGAGAACATGGGGATATCATCTGAAGACTATTGGATTAGAAGTGGTGCTAAACCCAAATTTACCAGCCAAATTCATGGTAGCCTCTCACCCCCAGCCAAGAGCAAAGAACAAGGTACAACTTATTTCCTCCATGTATTTCTGTTTTTAAGGAACATTCAAAAGGACATGATACAAAACACAAGCTTGTTATATTTGGATAAGATTTGAACATCACAAAAGTAATTCTCATTGCTCTGATATTGATAAGCTGCCTGTCAGTCAGTACATTTTGAAGTATATTTGTATCCTTAAACATATAAATAAGGATGCATTATACTTTTTTAAAGGTACAATGGGAAATCAAAGCATCAAATGCTTTGTGGCCAAGCAAAGCCCTTATTTGTGCAAAGTTGCTACTGCCATGAACTGTAATATTAATTTTTTACCCAGATAATGCTTCTCTTGAGTGCAAGTAGTTCCTAATCTTGATGAGTAGAACACATAGAATCGTAGAATGGTTTGGGTTGGAAGGGACCTTAAAGATCATCCAGTTCCAACCTCCCTGCCATCAGCAGGGACACCTTCCACTAGACCAGGTTGCTCAAAGCCTCATCCAACCTGGCCTCGAACACTTCCAGGGAGGAGCAGCCACAGCTTCTCTGGGCAACCTGGGCCAGTGTCTCACCACCCTCACAGTGAAGAATTGCTTCCTATTACCTGATCTAAACCTCCCCTCTTCCAGTTTAAAGCCATATAGGAAGTCATGTGTGATAGCTACGTGGTCCATGCTAGTTTCTCTGGATGTTGAGAGAAACTGAGCAGTTTCTAACAGGCCTGACAGTTGCACCACTACTGCTAAAGGATGTGTGAGCATAAATCATCTTGATGTGGTTAAGGAAACAATGAACAAATCAAAGTTATTCTAACAAAGTAAAATGTTAGATAGTTTCTGTATCTTTCCTCCCTGAAGCAGAATGTTTTTTCTTTACAATTAAGGCTTAGTTGGAGTTCAGCTCTGCTTCTAGATGTAACTTGAGGGTGTTTCTCAGTGTAAGTGCTGTTGGAACAAGTATAGAATTTGCTGTAGTCAGAGTATTACTACTCTCCTGGCTTATGTGCTTTCAAGTATCACACGATCAGTCTATCAAGTGATGGAGTGTGAAGTTATTTTCAGAACAGACTGACTTATCTTCTCTTCAGTGGCAATATGCACCAGGTTTCCTGTATCATTAGCCCAGTAGATTTCTCTTTAGAGTCTGTTTCTTAGAGTTCTCTCTGCATTGCTTTCCTGCTTGAGCTTGTTGCAGTTTGGGATTTGCCTTCTGCACTGGAGGCTTTCTATCCTTTCTATCCACTGACTTCTTGAAAGTGTTGTGGGTTTTTATGCTAGCCTGCTCTATAAAAGTTGAAGAGCCTTTACTTCAGCAACACCTTTCTTGGCACCTTACAATAATTCATAAAAATAATATCATTCTAAAATTTTGTTACCTTTAACTTTCCACATGTCCCTTCTATCTCAATCTAAAATCATAGATGGATGTTTGGCCTTTGTGTTACTCCCTGCTTCTTCTTCCTCCTTTTCCAGCTTGTGTAGTTTAAAGAAGCTATCACATTTGGTATTAGGAAGCAGGAACTACTTTCTTAATGCTGTTTATGCTAATGGATGCCTCAGAAATGCCAGTAAAATTACATCCTTTTTAAAATGTCACTTATTTTAGGAGTGGTTTCTTCAAATGAATCTGAAATTTAAGTGCCTTGCAAGTAAGGGGGTTTGGCTAAACAAGACATGTTGCTTTAGCAGTAATATCATATGCTAAATTTGACTTTTTGAACTATGTGCCTGTAGTACATAACAAGTTTGAAGAATTGAGGGTTTTTTTAAAGACAATGGGTGTGTTGGGTGACTTGGACAGTTAACAACTAGTCCTGAACATTTGAAAAGTGAACTAGAGCAGAATTAGCCAACTCCCACTGAGGTTTTTTTTGGCCACATTAACACCTATCCAAGTTATGACCTGAAATACAATGCATCCAGAATTACTGTTAGATAGTGATTAAAAACTGTAGACACAAGACTGTTGCTTGACATATGTAGTGTCTGTTTTATCTGCCACTAAAACGAGCACATAGAGGGAAGGGAGAAAGAGGAACACCACAAAGCAGTAGGAAAAAGTCAAGCTTAAATTTGCTCTAAGGTTCTGATTTGGAGAGATAACACCAGTTGTATTTTGCTCTTTAGGATGCCCACCTTTGGTTAAACCAAAGAAGAAAAGAATAGGCAAGCCACCTTCAAAGCGCAGAGACACGAGATGTGAGGTGGAAGAAGCAGAGGTGTGGGAGATGCCCAAAAGCAGTGTACGCAAAGGTCGGTGTGCAGTGACAAGCTATGAAAATGACTGGGACAAGTATTTTTAATTACCATCTCAGGAACTAATGGTTTTCAGTTTGAAATGCAAGGATATTGGATAGCTTGTGAAACAGTGAATGCCACATCTGCAGAGAAGATGAGGAAAAAACAAGCTAAATTTTGAATGTTTGTTTACTCACTTTGCTATGAATACTGTTGTAGCTTTGACCAGGTTAAGTTCTTTTTCTGTCTTTAAAGGAAAGAACAGGGGTGAGGAGGGAAAAATAAAATCACCAAACACTACTGTTTTAGTCTAATTGTTCTACTAACTCTTTAAAATGTTTGTGTCACTTTGCAGTATATCCTTTTCTTTAAGCTACAGCTCTGTCTCAGTCAAAATACTGTCATTTGATACAACACAAATGCATATAGGTAACTTTTAAGAACTTCAACTTTATGGACTAGGAACTTCTTTCTACTTTGGAGGAAGATGGGGAAAATAATGGAGGGGAAAGTCCCATTAAGGAGGTTCAATAACAAATATGCTTTTTTGCATTTGTGGGAGAGTCTGAAAAGGTTAACTAAAAAGAATCAGAACATACAAGAAGCTACCTAAAAGATCAGAGTTCTGTCTGGAAAAGAACAATCTGGTGTGGTGGAGCTAACTTGAATATTCAGTCAGTTAAGGACTGTATCTTTCTCATATTAAATATTCTATGTATTTGCAAGGTTGGAAACAGAAACTTTGACTAAAGCATCTTATTAGTCAAGGTTGGTAACAGTACTGAAGTCAGATTATTTAAACATCAGTGTTAAACCTTTAATTGTTGATCCTTTTTAGTAAAAGCATTGAGAAAACTTGCATAATCCCAAAACACTTCTTGTATTGGACCCAGAAATAGTTGGTATTTCTTGCATTCAACAGTGTAGTTACAAGAGCATACTGAAAAGATGCTATGAGTTTGATATGGAACTCTTTTCTATCTGTTACACTGGGACATTCTGCAGTTGACAACATCATTCCTGCAGAATCTATCCTTGCTGGCAAGTTGAGTACATAGTTCTAATATCAACCACCAGTGTCCTCTCCTGCAATAGGAAGAGGCAGCCACTGATGTCTAGTCTTTCTTTAGAAGCAGATTAACATACATTATCTGGAGGGAGAATGCATACCTTAAATCTCTTTTTTTATTTCTTTAGGGTGTGGAACAAGAAGGTCCCTCTCTAAGAGAAGATAACTGCAAATAATGGGGCAGGAGGGAAAAAAGATGTATCAGAGGTTTGCATAAATTCAAAAGTCAATTATTATTCTCTAGTAAATTTTGTAAATTGCCATGCACTCTTAAAGGGTAAGAAGCACTTGTAAAGACTGAGGACACTATTAGAATGGCAATAAATATTTAACACTGAACTCACCTTTTTACAACTAGCACATCCACTATTTAAATAATAAATTTAATAGAATTGCACTTTGAGACTTCTTGTATTCCATCTACACATGGAAGCAAAAAAGCTTCTGGTAGGGTTGTATGTGCCTCAATGGTATTGGAGCATTCCCATTTACTGCTGCCCTGTTCTTAAACTCTGCAGGGCTGTGAAGCCCATCAGTGTCACCTCAGTCAGTCTGTCCATATGATGTGGATGTAGGTACAAGATTCTCTTCCATCAGCTGGATTTTTGGCTGGATTTGTTTTTGTTAAAGTGTAAAGGCATACAGTTAAAGCTGTAACAAGTCACGTACTGTCTTGAAATTTCAGCCCAGTGCCTCTTATATTACTCTCCTCAAATGTGTTATGGAGGACTGAAACTAAAGCATTGAGTTGATTTGATGCTTCCCTCTCCTCCCTTTCTTTTTCTGTGGAGACTTTTGAGTCCGCTATGGAGACCTTGATCTGGAGAGATGGACTTTGAAGGTGCAACAAAAGTTTTTACAACACTGGTGTGCCCTGTTCCCTGACTTCTTACAACTTCTATACCAGTTGATACTGTCCTTGGCAACTCACTACAGAAAAGTCTCTTTACAGAACTAAGATGATAAAACTAGGTCTTTGCTGAGCTATCTTTTGAGTAATGGAAATAGTGACCTAGATGAGGTAGATAGTCCAAAAACGTGTCACCTTTTTCATGTCTATGAAAGCTAGTGTCACCATGTGAGAAGAATAAACATGATGCTGCTATTCTTGGATGATTCCCAAATAAAGTGATAGTGTGAGTAAAAAAGATAGGGAAACTAAAAATACAATTTTTTTCTGTAATAAGGGGTGGGGTAAACAGCCAGGACTTCTGCTTCCTGTTCCAATGTTCTTCTGTCTGTGCCCTACAGGAACCTACATGGATAACAGTAGCATTTCCTGTGACTGCATTCAAGTTTTGTGCCTACCTCTTACCAGTGTGACCTGTAACTGAGGTTATGCTGTTTTCACTCTGTGAGGAGTATTGAGGTTTCCCTACCCAATTAATCCTTGATCTATTATTTTTAATAGCACTTGCTTTCTTGTTAAAGAGCAATAGCCTTCACCTGAAGCTGTTATGGGAAAAGGATCCATGTTAACACTGTGAAGCCAAGTTTTTATTTCCTCTCTACCCTAAACACTGCAACAAAATAAGGAGTACAATTTCTTATCTGGCTTTTGTGCTACACAAAACCTCTATTCCATCAGAACATCAAGGGGTAAAATGAGGGAGAAAATTATTTCAAGCATGGAGCTTTTTAATACTCTGGAAAATACAGAACTGCTGCTTTTGGATATCTAATATAGGAATCTGCTCCTCTTAGAGGGGGACAAACTTTATTCTGATGGGAAGAACGGGTGCTAGAATCTCTTCAACTGAAGACTACAAGTGATGAGGAGTAACTGACAAAATTACAAGAGTAATCCTCAGGTATAACTGAAACCTCTTTGGTAAGGATTGACTTTATTTTTTCCCTGAACTTGACTGTAGCTCTGGGATTGAACACTAAGCCAGTTCTGCTGACAGACTTAACTGTTTGTGTTTTACTGCTTGTCTGATAAAGGAATATTCATGACTTCACAGTTAAATGAATTCTTCGCTCTTATTTTTGGGAATGGCTCATATTTCACAGGTATTCCCAAGATCATACCAGTCATGCTTTCACAGGTCTTGCACTAGTCAGTGATTTCTAACCACATCTGGGTAGAAGCAATTTAGGGCTGGGTGATGCTTGCATGAGGGAGTAGCAGTAGGAGTGTTTAGACAGCTCTCTGTCTGAAAACAAATGCTATTTTAAACTAATTGCTGAAAACCTCGTAGTGTGTCCATGCTATGGATCCACACCAATGCTAAAAGTATGCATGAATGTTCTAGTGCTCCAGAAATACTTCTTAGATAGTGTTACATGTGGTCTACTCTGCTCTGACAGGACTAGTCCTGTGACCTTAAAACTAAATCTTCTACTTGGCTTTTTCTTTACTTAGCAGCATAGACAATTTGTGGATTGCATCTTAAGTCAGCTGGCTTACAACTGTATTTAATGTTCCAGTGGGTGAAATGGCTGTGCTTCAGAAAGGTTGTGAAGTACAAACTGCACTTTAAAAGGCTGTGAATCAAAGTCCAGGCTCTTTTTATTCAGCCAGGAAACTAGTCATAGTGATATTTGTGACTTAATTTTTTAACAGATGCATATACATGTCAACTTTTGTTACCACTGAAGCCAGACTGTCCAGTAATGAGTAACTGCAGCGCTGGCAGTACTACGAGCTTGTAACTGTAGCAGTAGTAAACTGCCTTTGAAGTTTTCACATGATTCCTGCAGCATCTTCTGAAGGGCAGCTGAAGGATTTATTTGCTGCTTGGCACAGCAGTAACAAACCTTAGAGGCCTCTGAGACTGCCATAGTGGGAGCTTTGTTTGGACAGACTTGCTGTCTGTGACTCAGAATTTCTAAATCATTATTTGTAGCTAACTAAAACCTCAGTTGCAAAGTGGTTGTGGTGTAATCACTGAAGTGGAGATGGGGTTATGTTGGCTTGTTAATGTTCAATTTGGTAGCATCTGTGTGGTGTAAAGCTTTCTTTTTTTTTTTTTTACAATGTTCTGTTTTCTGCCTTATGTTGGAAAAGATGAATTACAGGTCTTTCTATTAAAACAATGAAAGGCCAGAGGCAATGATAAAAACCATTGCATGCTAACTGTAGGCATACCAAGGAAAAACAAAAGCACTGTTAAAAATCCTCAGATTCCCCTGACTCACTGCCACCAGCCATCTTAGTTAACCAGACTATAAACCCCAAGTAATTTTTATCACTGAAGAAATAAGACAGCTGTCAGTATTTTTGCTGAAGTAATCTTTCTGAGAAGAATGGTTCAGAGTTTTAAGACAAACAGACCTGGGAGCTGAAGATCTGTGAAGCTGTATTGCCTATGTGGTATCTTGTAGCTGCATTTCACACTTAGATTCATGGGACTATACAATTATGCTATTACCACCACTCAGGCTTCAACAGAACTTTCAAATAGAAATATATATGTCTACAAAGAAGGGAAGGATTGCTAAGAAACAACAAAAAAAATTGGTTTTTTGAACAAAACCATAAATAGTTCAATGGTTAAGATGTAAAAAATAAGGCTCACTAGTCTTTTAAGACTATAGCTTTCTATCCTGCTTTCTGGGTTTACTTCTACATAGAATTATTTTCCATTAAAATAAACGGGTGTTGGTATTTATTTCTAGTCTACATATTTCTAAAAGTCCTAGAATATCTTAAATGCCAGCTTTGGCACTGTTTAAAATGTTAAATCCTTAAATGAATTGTGCTTCTCAGCATTCTACCACTGGCTGCCAGTCAGCAATACTCAATCTTATTCTCTTGAAACTGTTAGAAGCAATTTCAAAATTAAAGCTGCTTTTATGAGTTTCAGTAGAGAACTACCGAAATCTTTATGTATGGGATATGATAGAGATCTATAAAACTGGTAATGATATGGGGAAAATTAATAGGAATTGGTTGTTCACATGCCTTCCACTAACAATAACTAGGGTGGGTGTGAAATGTAAATAGTAGGGAGCAATTTGAAAGCAAATGATGTTTCTTCACTAATTATTAATTGATCTCTGGAGTTCCTTGCTGAAGGAAATTGTGAAGCTTACAAGAAGTGACTGGATATAAGGAGGAAAAAAAAAATCCAAGGCTACTACATACTAAAATATAACCTATGGTTCAAAGTACCTGCACTACAAGTAGCAGAGGCTGAGACAGCATTTTGGTGAAATAACAGAAATAACACTACTAGAGTTCGCACTGCTCTGTGTTTGCATCCACTATTGACAACAGTAGAAAAAGATACTGGGCTAAACAGACCTTTAGTCTGGTATAGAACAGTGATCTGGTAACTCCAAATAAACTTTTAAATTGCAGTTGATGTAAGTTAGAGAATGGTCTTTTAAAGTATTTTTCTTTATTGTCCAAATAGTAAACCTTGGTAGGTAAAATGGGAGGGACCCATTAACAAGAAATGGGATGATAATCTCCTCATGCTATTTCAGCTGTTAAATATTTTTCTAGTGAAAGAGACAGGAGCTCTGAATTTGTTGATGATAATGCTGATACAGTTAACTATCAGGAGTTGCCAGGAAATCTCATCACAGGGATATCTGCTAAATAATACTGGAGGATAAAACACAACTCCACAGTCAAGCTCTGGGAATATGAGAAATAATCTTTTTGTAAGTAGGCCTTGACTATCTTGTTTTTCCCCAGAACATATTGTGAAGGGCTGGCAAGAAGTGGGGGTTTATTTTTACTAAATGACTCTTAGACAAGTAGGAGGGAAAAAATGCATTTTAATGTGTACTTTCTCCTGTCCTCTTTTCAAAAGCTCTCAGCAGGGGGGAAAGAAGTCTTAAATGCATTTTAGTCTGTGGTTTCTTGATTTCACTGTTAATTCTCACTCTACTAATGTTAGAGCTTTATCACGTTGGGTTTTTTTTAAATATAAGCATAAGCACAGAGATTAATTTCTATGTAAATCCTTCATCCTTTCAAAGCAAATGTATTCTTTTTCCTTTTGCAGAGTACCAATATACGTCATGTAGGTCCTCAAATCACAGCTTTGTACCTTGATGTTTCAAGGAGAGATGCGTACTCTAATGCAGTTTAATTTTATAGCTATCTCAATCTTTCTAGTCAAGTCTGCCTTGCAAGATTATTTAAAAGAGTGGTCAGTCCACAAGGTCAATTCAGTACACAAAACATTCCCTTCTTCCTGCTTACAAGTTCTTTCCTGCTGTGCTGTGGCTTAAATGAATATAGTTAAAAGCCATTCTGAAAGCCTTAATAATTTATATTCTTGTGGGATGATTCATAAAATGACTACATAAAATAATTCTAGTAAACATCAAAAAGTTGGGAGTTTATTTCCCTGAGCCTTTTTAAAAGGAAAAAAACCCCTCCAGTGTATCAAAGCAACTGATACTGAAGTGTAGGTAGAAATCAATCTTTTTAATTTCTAACATGAAAACCTCCACTTTTAAATAACTAAACCCACTACCTCTTTACAATGAAGTTGAATATCATCCTCCCCCTTGGCTCCCACTCCTGTGGTTTGGACAACACTAGCTATTGCAGAACTGTGCGTATTAACAATGATGATGCTGAGATTTTGCTACACACACACAAAACCCCTCAAGTCTTGCTGACACTGCGGTTTTGTCTTAAAGTAAATCCCCTTGATCAACTTTTTTCCGCCTTCAGCAGTGTTCTTTATTTCCCTAGCTGCCAGTACAATGAACTTCAGCATATAGGCAGTATGCAGAGAAAAAAGAAATACAGTACAACCTGGTTATTGTAAGCACTGTGAGAGAACTGTCAGTGCTCTGCAGTCCTGCTACAATGAGGCATTGTAGATAACACAATAACTTCATGGAGAAAAGACACTTTAAGGGACAGTCTGCTGAATTCTGCAGCTTTGCTGGCGATACCTTAGCAGTCACTGCTTTCTGCTGCGAGTCACATGTGGCAACACAGAGGCCAAATCTGACCAAGACGGATGATCCTTAGCACAGGTTTTACAGTACAAAGATATGGCTGAGCATTGTTTAACGCAGCTCTCTTCTTTCTGTCTGCACCCCTGCAGGGACAGAAGAGGACAGCCAGTGTAGGATGCCTTACATGTCCATTTGTATATTCTGAGTTTAATAAAGCCCTTTCTGGTGGTTTCTTCCTCATTCTTTGGATCTTTCCTTGCAGTTCACAAGTAGAGGTCAATGAGCATGCAGCAGGTGATTGCTGTCAGTCAGAGTCCGACTTCTCATTAGATTTAGATGATTTATGCTTTCTCTTTTTCTTCTTCTTCTTTTCTTTTTTTTTCTTTTCCTTCTTTCTCTTTTTCTTCTTGTGTTTATCTCTACATTCCGAGGAAGTGGAGCTGCTGCTATCTTCATCATCCTCATCACTGCTATCATCATCTTCTGAGGTAGAGTCCTCCAGGAGTTGCTTCAGTTGTTGTATCCTGAGTTTAAAAAATGTGAATGAGAATCTTTTCTAGCTTTCCTCTACCTGTGATAATTTATTCTAGCTTTCATCCATTTCCTTCCCAGTTTAAGAAATGGAAGCTGCATGCAAAGGGCAGGGGAACATTTTTTCTTCTGCTGAATTACACTCCTGTTAGAGTCTTCACAGCCTGCTAAAAGCAACCCCTTTGAGATGAGCAAACGATCTGTCCTCAGGGACTTCCCATCCCATGGGCTATCAAAGGCAGACAAACTTACTGGCCAGTATTTATGTGTGCAAAATAATGAGGCAGCAGGTATCACCAGACCACCTAAGAAGTTCTGTGCTTATCCTTACACAGATGCATGTTGGGATTATGATGTTATGAAATTCACTGTCTTGCTGATACAGTGATGATGTCAGTGAAGCTGACAGAGTAGACTCCACTCTGCGGAGGTATTTTTGACAGGCACTCTGCCTTGGCACTTTCATGGATTATTGGCAAATGGGGATAAAATATTTGCTTATTTTATTGTTCTCTTCAGTATCCTCTCCAAGGACTTGTTTGTTGGGTTTTTTTTAAAAAAAAAACCACCTGCAGCAGCAATATTAGTTTATGGGCTACCTACAGTTTGTTCAGTTATCTCCTTGATGCAGTTCAAGTAAGAAAGCATTAAAGAACTCTGCTGCTTTATGTATTGAATAATGAACCCACATGAGGAACATCAGGTGCCTAGAACTAGCTTTCTAAATCCACCCTTTCAGGTCTAGTGAAGGCACTTTGATGTACCAAATTTTAGAAAACATTTCAGTGAAGTCAGTGAAAGGAAAAAAAAAACAAAATACACAACTAGTTTTTAGGCCTAAACCAAACCTAAACTCAACTACCTGAATATTATGGCATAAATGAATATGACACAGCTTTAAGCTTTGTTTTGGGTAAAAATATAAAGCTAATTGAATTAAAGAGGTAGGAAGTATTACTGAGTGATTCCTGAGAAAGTCGAAATGCATTAGTGTCTGCCAACATAAAGAAACTGCTATTGAAAAAAATGTTCTGAGCTGGTAAGGGAACTGTCCCTGTTTTTATCTGAGACAGAGCTGGGTTTCTTTTTAGTAGCTAGAATAGCACTGTATTTTGGTTTCAGCAACAAAATGAACACACTGGTATGTTATCAGCGTTTTTCTCCTAATAAATCCGATGCTAAAACCAGAACCCAGCGCTGTTCCAGCTACTAAAAAGAAACCCAGCTCTGTCTCAGCTAAAAACCAGGACAGTAGCTTATATAAACATTTCACCTATACATTAGTATCGTGTTATCAAAATGAGAAACAAATTGAAAAATGCAGTTTACTCCAGAAACATACTTACCTCATTTCTTTTTCATGACGTTTATTTTCCCTTATTATATCGTACATTGGATCTTCATGTGCCTTTGAAGTGAAAAGCAGAAAATCCAGTGTTGGTAAAGAAAAATATTTATAACTGTTGTAATTTTTTTAAAAAATTAAAACTAAAGCAACCCAGTGCAAGAGGCTTTTATCAAAAGAAGACAGACATTTAACAAGCTCTTAATTCACAAGTAAACTTTCAGACTTAACATCATGAATCTGAACTGTTTTGTTTTTTTTTTTACTTTAGGAAAAGTTTATCTAGCTACCTCACCAATGAAGGGGACTCTCCTTAGGTGTACTACCTCTCTCCCTCTCCAGTCCCAGTTAACTATGAGAAATCCATACATATACTGTAGGGATAGCTAGACATAGAAGGAATATTCAAATTCAAAACAATGAGCTGTACCCTTATAGCATTTTTAAAACACTTGGATACAAACACACAGGAATATGGGAGCAAGGAATATAAGACAAATGGAGAATTAAGTTGGAATTGTCCTAAAATGCTAACCATTATTGGTTCTTAAATCACTTATTTTTAAATTAAACAGGCATTACCACAAAAGATTGTTGTGAAGGAAGACAGTAAATAAACTCTGCAGATATTTAAGGCGAGTTTGTGCCGTGCAAGAATGCAGCAAAAAAGATGGGGTGATCATTTCTGTTGGAAGATTCAGCAAATAAATTCAACAGACCGGGAGATACCAGATGCTGACCAGAGGTGAGAATTTAAATGTTAGTAGCAAATAAAAGATGTTGGGAATGCACCATGAAGGGCTTTGGACAAATGAAGAATATGAGGAAAAATGAAGAATAGAGGCAATCTGGTCATGGAAGCAGGCTACAAATACTCCTTGCAGTAGCATTCTGGTTGGACAGAATAAGTCCAAATTGCATTTTTCAAGGATAGAAATGAGGACATGAGAGACAAAGGGATGAGAGCTTGAAATCGAGTGTAACGATGCAGAGCAACAGGCAGAGTCAAAGAGGTCACGGAGAAAGAATCTGCGGAAGGGAGATGTAGCCTCATGTAGCCAGAGATCAGACTTGTAGACAATGACTGGATTACAGACCTAGACAACAGGCTTCATGATGTGGTTGTTCACAGTGAGAGCGGAAGGCTTGAAGCAGCTGTAATGTGGGCAGCTCAAGCTTGACTAAACATTTTTTGTCACGTTGATATTTTAATCACAAAACCTGAATGTAATGGTTGAAACAGGTTCTTGAAGATTTCCAATTTAAATGTCAAAATTACTAATTTTCCTCTCGAAGAGTAGATTTTTCTGCAAAGAAGTCAAACATCCAACCACATCTGTAGCTTTTTCTTTATTGGGAGATTTTCGGCATCTATATTATACTAGAGACAGAGGAAAAGTCCTTAGTAAAGCAACATCTAAGGGGTTCTTCTCTTCACTTGCAAGATTATGCATCATCAATATTAAAAAATACAAGCAATAATACTACAGTATTTGTACTCACTACTCGAAATTGTTCCAGTTTCTGATTGCCTTTAATAAAGAAGGGGCATTCTTTATCTCCTGTTCTGTGTCCGTAACGTTTACACCTCCAACCTTTAAAAAAAACAAGCAGCAGTGAATTACAAGATCACAAGAAGAAAAAAAATAAATAAATTTTGCAAAATATTTTCAATTTGTTAGAACAAACAAGAGAGATACAAGTATGATGTTGATAAATGTAACGTCCATAAAATGCAAGGCTATTACAGCCTTCGAGATCCTGCTTGCTTTTATATCATTATGATGCCAATCTACCTGGACCTTGTCATCCGTCCCCCAGACAATTCTGCCCTCCCCCAGAGTAAATGGATGGCTATGGGAAGGTCCAATGGCATCTGGAATATTTTCAGCCTTACACTGCATGACTTTGACTTCTTTTCCCAAAGGCATCCACAGCCCTTTTGTTGGGGCATGTGCCAGGAATTCTCGTGCGCTTTCATTGCCTGGTACATCAGGTATGCAGTCTTCTGGTTTTGTTTCATTCTCCTATGGAAAAAAAAAAGATAAGGATAATAAAATCACATATTTTTAACTCTGTGAACATTAATACTCCACGTTTGCAGGCCTTCACTTAATACAGAACCTATTTCCCCTGTAACATTTGTTTTTCTTGTAACACATAACTGATCCAAAATACCTGACTTTTGTAACAGCATTAAGTAATTTGCTTTTTCCCTCACTCTTGAATTTTTCAGTCTGAACTTTATTGCCATATTAATTCCATTCCTTCCCATTTATCTTAGTAACTTATTTTTAAAAATAATACAAATAAGACCAGACAAGCAGAGACTTCTTTCCCCTCTCCCTGCTAACAAGACATAACAATTAAATACAGCCTTTACAATACAGAGCAGTATTTTTTAGGTTAAAAGCACTAGATCATGGCTCAGGTATATAAATTTGGCAAAAGCAATTATCATGATGAAAGGAAAATATTTTTACACAATTATTTGAGAATAAACAATGGAGAAAAGATGTCATTCAAACTGCTTCCCCATAAATGACTATTAAATACTGCATTAAGTGTGCGTGCTAAGAGGTGATGAAAGAACTGGTATCATCCTGTCTGATTCTGGGCATTTCACTCTGGATTTGCCAAGTCAAAGATGTTGCTAACTGAGGAGCTCTTAGTTCTCCCCTGGAAACGCCTATTTCTCTCTGAAATTTATATAGGTAATGTAGACACTCAAGTGGTTAAAAGACAGTTGTGTGAAAAATCCCTCTTGAAGCTAAAAATTTACTGCAATATATTTACCAACCTTAATTAACCCTGGGGGAGGTCTCTCGTAGCTGAAAAGCAACAGAAATATTGTTACTCCACAGCTTAGCACAAACAAATTGCAAAAGTACAATATTTCAATGGCACAAAGTTGAAAGCTTCACATTTTCCCTTAAATTTTACTCAATCAATCAATCAATCATCAGGAACTGTAGCAGAACATGGATGCAAGCAGACTGAGCCACCCTTCAGATTCATTTTCTTGTGGGGGGACAACTACTTTAATCGTACCGCGTTACAGGGATGTGTGGTGCATCCAGCTTAGCTTCAGTTACCGTAAATGCACAATTCTCTCCTCTTTTTCTGTAGCACCCCTCCTTCAAGATCTCACTGATCCAAATTTCTTTACTCCAGCACTGATGAATCTGGAGTCAGCTGAAAATGTCAAGTCAGATTATTTCTTACATCTAGCTTTGTCAGCCAAATCTAGCATATAATAATAATCATCATCATCATCATAAATAATAAATAATAATAATTTCATCTTCTGTGTATTAAACCCAAAGACAGAACATCATCATCATCATAAATAATAATAATAATAATTTCATCTTCTTCTGTCTATTAAACCTAAAGACAGAACCTTAATGACCAGAGTACCATCTTTCCTGCAGCATTTCTCTGGCGTTAGTAGTAAATATAAAATTTATTAGAATCCAAACAGCAAGCGGGTAAGTGCATGCGCATAGGAGTTCAATGCCAAGACACTATGAAATGGTCATTATAACAGTAACTTGGTGAGTGCTGTTTAGTGTATTCCGTAACAAACAGATTTTTACTGCTGCTTGGAAAGGAAAAAAATCATATTCTTGTGAATCTTCTGATCTTTTTATTCCATTAAACCCATTTCAATGAAATAGCAAAAACCTTTTACAGCACCGTGAGCTACTGATGGAGTCGTCAGCCGGATCTCAAACATTTTAATTTATTTTTGTTTCAATCTACTCTAGGGAAAACCGGCTGAACAACCTCTGCTTCTACACCGCGACTCCCAGGCTTCTAGGAACATGGAAGAGACCCTTTTTCCCCGCAAGAAGTCGTTATCAAGCCACCGAGCAGATATACACCGATGTATAGAAACGGGGCACGTTTTTAAAATGTGACGGGGGTGGAGCAGCCGCTGCGGGAAGGGAACGGGGCCCTGCCTTCCGCGGGGCCTGGGACAGAATAAAAACCCCAAACCCCATAACCCA